CCCCCCTCCTCCTCCCCTCCTCCTCCTCCTCCTCCTCCTCCTCCTCCTCCTCCTCCTCCTCCTCCTCCTCCTCCTCCTCCTCCTCCTCCTCCTCCTCCTCCTCCATGTCAATATAGCCCCAGTTGTATCGAGTTACTTGTATGTGTGATTGTGCATTAGCACAGTTTATCAACTTGTGCATTAGCACAGCTTATTCAACATGTGTCACAAGCCGTTGTTTCACACGTGATTGGATCCATCGCCATTTGATGTTCAGGGGCCCCGGAGTCGGGTGGAGGGTTGCGTTCCAGTCCTTCCGACACGATCACCAAGATACTCTGTTCTATCGAACATTCCCGAGGAGACTTCGTATGCTGCCATCGGTTGATAGTGGTAGCGGAGCCAGAGATCCACTTTCTCCAGTCGCCGCCATGCCCGACGGCGCGCCTCGCGCGCCGCCGCCGGCCGCGGCCGGCGGGAGCCTCTGCAGCAGCAGCCGCCGCCTAGACCGGAGCGAAGGCTCGCCGAGCTCCAGCACGCAGCGCGGGCGCGGAGGAGGCTCACTGCACAGACTGGGGCGGGTGGCAGGGCTGGTGGGGCCGACGGGAGCGTCCCACCTGGGGCGGGGGAGGACGAGGCCTCGGCGCAGGCTTGTCCAAGGCGGCGCCGGGCCACGAGCTGCTGAGGACCGACGGCGACCGAGCCTTTCGACGCAAGCGGGAGATCTTCGAACGGTGCTGCAAGAAGCGCGGCACCACCGCGGTCAGCGAGGGAGCGCTCTTAGTCATGATCTCGCTGCATGGTGAGGCCGCAGAGGCTACGGAGGACATCGACCTGGACCTGTTTGAGACGGAAAAGGCCTTCAGGCCGTTGTTCCAGGTGTTAGACGCGTACTACAAGTACGATAACCAGAGAGAGAGAGAGAGCGGCCAGCCTGTACAGTCCTGTTATTCGGCAAGTTGGATCGCCAAGAGGAGACTATGAAGCTGAACTGCCTACGCCACAAGCCAGAGCTCAGGAAGCTCAAGGAGGTCGGGATGGAGATCCCCGACATGCTGGCGGGCTGGCACCTCCTCACGAGAGCGGCTGTCCCGCCATCGGGCGCCGCCCAGGTTCGCAGTCAATGCGTGGACGGTCTCTGCTGGACGAAGGTGAGGAAAGCCCTGCTCTACACGTACGGAGCCGAAGCTATGCCCGACAAGCGCGATGTGAAGCGAGTGGAGAAGATGCTGATCGGACAGAGCTTGAAGGACGACGTGAACTACACGAACGACTACGAGTGGGAGCGAGGCCTGGGCCACGAAGCCACTTACCTGAGAAGGGAGAGTACCAGGACGACGAGGAGTATGACTACGACGAGGCCGACGTCGCTGAGGAGCTGCCGCAGGAGGTCGAGGAAGCCCAAGTGGCGTGCGACGAGGCCTACTTTCGCTTCGTGGCTGCGAAGAAGCGCGTGGCGGAGATAACCACGGCCAGAGGTTTCTACCCGATCGTCGCCCTCGCACCCGAGAACAACTACCAGCGCGACGGCCGCGCAGGACCCACGAGAGCGACGAGGCCGGGAGCTGGCAAGGGCAGAGGACGCGGCAAAGGCAAAGGACGCGGCAAAGGATTCGGTCAACCACGTCGAGAAGCTTTCCGACCGCAGAAGGGAGCGTTTGGCAAGGGAGCTCCACCATCGCCAGCGGGCTCGACTGCATTGGGCTCGACCCAGCAGCACGGCCCGAGGTTCAAGCGCTTCAGGCACGGCGGCTTCACCAAGCCCGAGGACGAGGCACGCATGGTGGAGGACGTCGAGACGCTGGAGTGCGCCAACTCGACCGGGGAGGTCTTCCTGCTGACAGTCGACAAGGGCATCAGCGACGGCGGTGCTACGCGGCCCGTCATGGGCGACAAGATCTGGACGCAGTGGGAGGAGCTACGTTGCTCGAAGCAGTTGCTGCACGAGGTCGAATGTGGCAAGAGTGACTGTCGCTTCCGATTCGGAGACGACAAAACGATGGAGGCTAAGCGAGCTGTGACGTTGACTGCATGGCCGTTCGGCGTCGAGAAGCAGACCACGATCCACCTCGTCGATGGGTGGACGCCGCTGCTGATCGCACAACCCTGCAGGGAGGGGCGGGGCTTGATCCAGGACTAACGAGCTGGACCGTTCATGATGAAGGATCTCCCCGACAAGGGCTGGGTGAAGTCCGAGCGTGACGAGAAGGGCCGCTTCATCACAGACCTGTTGGGTGGAGCTGGTCGCAACGCCGAGGATACCACGGACGAGGGAGCCCCCACCGACGACGAGGCGAGCAGCGGAGACTCGACGGACAAGGACACGGAAGGAAGCTCGGTCAAGGGCGACGAAGGCGACGACGAGGACTCGTCGGCGCCAGACCCCGACGCCTTCTGCCTCGAGACGCGGACGGAATTCTACGACATCGACAGCGGCGAGGAGACCCTGGCCACGGAAGATGTCGCGGGGCTGGGGCCCCACCTAATGGACCCGGACACCTGCTCGGACCTGGCACTGGCGCTGGAAGCAGGCGGAGTCCGACATGAAGGCCACGCTGCGCGGGCCGCGCAAGCGTGGTCTGGGAGGTCTTCATGGATCAGGGGGCTCTGTCGCAGGAGTTGCTCGAGTTCCCGCAGGTCGAGGTGTTCCAGTTCAAGCTACAGGACGGCTGGAACTTCTCCAGACCCGCCGTGATCCGCGACTTTCTGAACAAGATCGACAACGAGAAGCCCGACGGTATCTTCTTCGCCCCTCCGTGCAAGCACTGGTGCACTTGGCAGCATGTGAACGAGAAGATCTCCGAGGAGCGAGTCACGGAGATCGATGGTGCCAGGGAGCGAGAACAGCGGACGTTCCTCAAGATGACTTCAACGGCGTTTGCGAAGCAGCAGAACGGAAACCGACATGCGCGCGCAGAAGGCCCGTGGCAGGGGCTACACTGGCGGACGAAGACGTGGAAGAAGTTGCCAGGATATCAATCACTACAGGCTTGACCAGTACAGGCTGGGAGCGAAGGACCCGATCCGTGGCCACGACACGCCCTAGCAGAAGCCAACGACGCTGCAGTCGACCAACAAGGAGTTCATCCACCACATGGCTCTGGCACGCGCGCGCACGGAGGACCACGTGAGCCTGAGGGGCAAGCTTGCCCGGCAGGCTCAGAACAACCCGAGACCGATGGCGAAGAGGATGGCCCGCCTGATCGCCTACCAGGGCGTGGCCGCCGACGTCAACGACATCTACACGGCCGGGGAGGTCCGTCGCGACATCGACGCCATCGAGTACGCCGACGCGATGCAGGAGCAGGCGAAGCGGCTCAACGCGTCGACGATCCAAGCAGCCACGCATGCGCACGTCAGCCTGGGCCACCCTTCAAACGCAGCGCTGGCGGTCGCCACGCAGCACGCGGGTGCCCTGGCGGAGTGGATTCAGCGCGCCCTGCTCTTCCAGTGCGAGGCCTGCCCAGGCAGGCAGAGGCCTCGAGCAGTTCGCGTCGCAGTGCTGCCGAAGGCCACGAAGTTCAACGAGGTGGTCTGCACCGACGCGCACTACTTCACGTGGAAGAAGAAGGAGCGGAAGACCCTGGCCATCATGGACGAGTTTGCGCGCTACGAAGTCCATTGCCCGATCTCGAAGGAGACGTTCCTGAAGGAGACGAAACTGCTGCAGAAGCTTTGGATCAGCTGGGCCAGCAAGCCCGAGACGACGCGGATGGACATGGGAGGTTCGCACACGGCCAAGCGCATGCACGACTGAATGAGCAAGCATAGCATCAAGCTCGACCTGATCCCGAAGGGCGCGCACCACAGGCTAGGCCTGATGGAGCGGAACCACGCGGTCCGGAGGGAACAGCTCAGCAAGTACCACCTGCACTTCCCCGACGACTCGCTCATGACCGCGCTCAGGATGACCGCCAGCCAGCGGAACGCCCTGAGGGGCGCGCGCGGGTTCTCGCCTGCGGCGCTGGTGCTGGGGGCGCAGCCCAAGATCCCAGGTGCCCGATGTCACAAGCGTCTACCGTCCATGTAGGGGCAAATACACGGAGGAGCGGAGCGCAGCTTCTGGAACGCGTTCCGAAGCTGGACGGCCGCCAGGAACCAACAATTAGCCTGGCGAGAGACCCAACCATATGAAGTTGTGAGTAGCGAATGTGTGAATATTGTCTTTGCCAGAGCTCTCTATGGGGCCACGAAACGTGTGAGGTGTGTGTATGTGTGTCGAAATGGGTGCGGCGAGTGTGCCGAAATTGATGGGGCGGACGCATGCAAACACCACCACTGGGGCCTTCGGTGGAGCTCCATATGGGGCCGCGAAGCGTGTGAGGGATGGACCGAAATCAACAGGGCGGGCGCATGCGAACACCGCCATTGGAGCCTTCCGTGACGCTCCCTATGAGGCCACGAAACGTGTGAGTGGTGAGCCAGAAATTAACGGGGCGGACGCATGCGAACGCAGCCGTTTGGGGCCTTCGGTGGCGCTCCTCATGAGGCCACGAAACGTGTGAGGTGTGTGCCGAAATGGGCGGGCGCATGCGCACGCAGCCGCTGGGGCCTTCGGTGGAGCCCCCTTCCGGGGTCACGAAACGGCGGCGGACGCATGCGACCGCAGCCGTTGGGGCCTTCGGTGGAGCTCCCCATGGGGCCACGAAGCGTGCGAGGGGTGTGCCGAAATTGGTGCGGCGTGCGCATGCGAACGCAGCCGCTGAGGCCTGAGGTGGAGCCCCCTGTTGGGCAATGAAGCGTGTTAGGGGTGTGCCGACAAGGGTGCGGCGGGCGCATGCGAACGCAGCCACTGGGATCTTCGGTGGCGCTCCTCATGGCGCCACGAGACGTGTGAGGTGTGTGCCACCATGGGTGCGGCGGGCGCATGCGAACGCAGCCATTGGGGCCTGAGGTTGAGCTCCCTATGGGGCCACGAAACGTGTGAGGTGTGTGCCGACATGGGTGCGGCGGGCGCATGCGAACGCAGCCACGGGGCCTTTGGTGGAGCTCCCTATGGAGCCACGAAGCGTGTGAGGGGTGCGCCGACATGGTTGAAAGGTGCGGAGGGCAGAGACAAGGAGGGGGAGGAGGGAGGAGGGAGAAGAGGAGAGGGGCGCTGCCTCTTCAAAACGAGGACCCGACAAAACAGGATGGTTGGGAAAAATGTGTTAAACCTCCAACCTTGAATCTCGATCCTCCCCAGACCCTGCTCGCCGGGGAGGAGAGACCGGCGGTCCGCCTCGGATATCTCCAGTATGGACGCTGTGTTCGCGAACCGGTAGCAATAGTTGGGCGCGCTCCACACCTAGTGGCAGAGGGCGGACGCGAGCTGCGGACGGGCGCGGCTCTCTCACCGTCTCCACCTCGGCTCCCTCTCTCCCCTCCCCTCCCCCACTTCCTCCCCCCTCTTCCCCGTCCCACCACCCCCCCTCCTCCCCCTCCTCCGCCTTCCTCTGCCCTCCTCCGCCCTCATCCTCCTCCTTCGCCTTCCTTCGCCCTCCTCCTCCTCCTCTGCCCTCCTCCTCCTCCTCCTCTTCTTCCTCCTCTTCCACCTCCTCCTCCTCCTCCTCCTCCTCCTTCACCTCCCCCTCCCCCTCCTCCTCCTCCTCCCCCTCCTCCTCCTCCTCCTCTTCCTCCTCCTCCTCCTGCTCCTCCTCCTGCTCCTCCTCCTCCTCCTCCTCCACCTCATCCACCTCCCCCTCCCCATCAGAATGCTCATCAGCAGCAGCATCATCATCAGCATCATCAGCATCATCATCAGCAGCAGCAGCATCAACAACATCATAACCATCATTACATCATCAGCATCAGCATCAGCATCAGCATCAGCATCAGCATCAGCATCAGCATCATCATCATCAGCAGCAGCATCAGCAGCATCATCATCATAACCGTCATCATCATCATCGTCGTCATCATCACCACCACCACAACCATCCTCCTCCTCCTCTTCTTCCTCCTCCTCTTCCTCCTCCTTCTCCTCCTCTTCCTCCTCCTCTTCTTCACCATTAACACCATCATCAGCAGCATCATCATCATCATCAGCAGCAGCAACATGCGTATTACAGTACCATCATAATCATCATAGTTACCCCCATCATCAACAACACCACCGCTATCGCCATCACAATCACAATCACCATCGTCGCCGTCACCGCCACCGTCACCGTCACCATCAGCATCACCATCGTCAGCATCATCAGCATCATCATCGTCATCAGCAACAGCACCATAATCATCCTCATCATCAGTATCCTCATCATCAACACCATTGTCATCATCATCATCATCATCCGAGCATCACATCATCACCAGCATCATCAGCATCATCACCACACCACCACCACCATCATCATCATCATCATCACAGCATCAGCAGCATTAGCATCCCTGTCGTCATCGTCACCCTCGTCATCGTTGCCGTCATGACCATCATCATCGGCATCCGTATGACATCAGCATCGTCGCCATCACAACCAGAATCAGCATCATCATCAGCATCATCGTCACCACCACCACCATCATCAGCATCATCGTCATCATCATCAGCATCATCATCCACATCAGCATCAGCATCATCATCGGCATCAGCATCATCATCCTCATCAGCATAACCCCTCTTATCCTCAGCATCATCATTAACAGCATCATCATCACCATCAGCAGCGTCATCAGCATCTTAATACTGAGCATCAGCATCAGCATCATCAGCAGCAGCATCATCATCATCATCAGCATCATCATCATCATCACCACCATCATCATCATCATCATCATCAGCATCATCATCATCAGCAGCATCAGCATCAGCATCATCAGCATCAGCATCAGCATCGTCGTCGTCGCCCCCATCCTCATCACCCTCATCATCAGCATGCCCCCTGCTCATCATTCGCATCACCTTCCTACCCATCGGCAAGGTCATCATCATCAGTAGCATCACCAGAACATTCGGTCAGCCGAATGTTCATCCTCGTCCTCTTCCTGCGCCTCCTGTTGAGCCTCCTCATTCTCCACGGCCTCATCAGCCTCACCATCACGGACATCAGCATCATCATCAGCAGCACCAGTAGCATCAGCATCGTCATCATCATCAAGATCATCGTCAGCAGCATCATCAGCATCATCAGCATCATGATCAGCATCATCATCATAATATGTATTGCCATCGCTATCAGCAGCACCATCATCATCATCATCATCATCATCATCATCATCATCATCATCATCAGCATCATCATCATCATCATCATCATCATCATCATCATCATCAGCAGCATCATCATCATCATCATCCTCATCAGCATCATCATCACCATCCTCATCGACAACAGCATCCTCATCATCTTCACTATCATCATCAGCATCATCATCATCATCATCATCATCATCATCATCATCATCAATATAATCAAAATCATCATCCTCATAAACAGCGGCAGCAGCCTCATCAACATCATCGTCCTCGTCATCATCCGTTAGAGCCCTCCTCCTGCATCTTCTCTCTGACCTGCTTCGCCCCGTGGACAACGCAATTCCAACAATTGCAGGAGATCGGTCGTTGCCATCGACCCCCCTGTCGCGCTACCAGCTCCCTCTGCCTCTTGCGTCTTACTCTGGTCGTCCGTGCCCTCGTCGTCGACATCCTCTTCCCCCCCTTCTCCTCCTTCTCCTCTAGTTCCTCTAGTTCCTCTAGTTCCTGGAAAGCGCGGTCGGCTCTGCGAACCACACCCGCCTACTTAAAGCAGGATCCGCCGCAAGGTCGAGGGCCCTTGCCTCACACCTCGGGGCACTGAAATGGTTTTAGAGGACGGCCTCCTCCTCCTCCTCCTCCTCCTCCTCCTCCTCCTCCTGCTCCTCCTTATCCTCCTCCACCTGGAGGGAGGAAACATTTCCCTCCTCTGGATCAGGGCGAGGGCTTCGCACAAGTTTCAAGGCGCACCGAGACGGTCTGGGAGGGAGTTCGCGGAAATCCCAGAAAGGACATCTCATAGGAAGCAGGGGGAAGAAGGAGGGAGTGGAGGGCTTACGTTGCAGAGTAAAGAACACAGATGGTAAAAAAGAGGGGGCTAGTGACGAAAGGGCAAGGAGGGAGGATGGAGGAGGGAGAACTGGAGAAGGGACGAGGAGTGAGGATGGAGGCAGGATGCTGTAGGAATGGGGAGGCAAGGCGGCATGGGGGAGAGGCGGACGGCGGAGAACTCGGGCCCGAGGTTGCGGGGCGCGGGGTGGAGCAGGCCGAGGGTGGCGAGGACCTCGGAGCTCCCGATCCTCGATCCTCGAAGCCCTCCAGCTCTCGGTCATCGGTCCTGTGCGATCCCCGGCCCTCGAATCTCGTCGGTCCTCGAACCTCCCCGATCCTCGAGGCGCTGCGATCCTCGAGCCTCGGTCCTGGGAAGGGGTACAACGATCAGCCGAGCCGGGAGCGGCCCGAATAGCGGAGAACGGAAAGGACCCCGACGTTCCTCCCCAGAGGCCCCCGAGAGCCTTCCGAAGAGATCCCAAGAAGCATCCCCGAGGACTCTGGCCCTCGTCAGCGTCGTCATCGTCGTCGTCGTCGTCGTCGTCGTCGTCGTCGTCGTCGTCGTCATCGTCGTCGTCGTCGTCGTCGTCGTCGTCGTCGTCGTCGTCGTCGTCGTCTCCCTTCAGGGTTAGCAGCACTGGCCGTAAGGCTTTCGCAACAACGGGGAACAGAGAGGCAGGAAGCCCTGCCAGATAGGCACTGTGGCGACGGCGGCGGTGGCGACGGCAGCGGCGACGACGACGACGAGGGGGGGCCTCGCCAAGCTCCCTCGGGGCCCTCTTGGGGCCAGGGTCGGAGCGCAGTACCTCCTGGAACGGGCACTGGCCATCAGGGGGGGGGGGCTGGGGGGCGGTGAAGGAGCCTCAGGGTCATCTGGAGGAGCGGGGGAGGAGGAGGAGGCGGAGGAGGAGAAGGAGGAGGCGGAGGAGGAGGAGGAGCAGGAGCAGGAGCATTAGGAGGAGGCGGAGGAGGAGGAGGAGGAGGAGGAGGGGGGGAGCAGAAGGAGAAAAAGGTCGTGACGCTTTTGGCATTGCGCTCACCGCAACGGCGGGACTCACCTCGAGATCCTGGTCAGACAACGCACCCAGGTAGACGTCTGGCGGGGGGGGGGGGGGGGGGGCGGGGACTTCGAGGGAGGGGCACTCGGGCCCCGGGCGCCTTGAAAAAGCACGACGGTCAGCCGCTCGTCTGAAAAAATAAAGCAGAACACCGTATGACAAAGCCGTCGGGTCCAGGGAGTCTGGAGAATCCCCTGGTGCCATCTTGGGTGGCCTCGGAGCGGTTCCGAAACGACATCCGACATTGGCACGTGTTCTTTCATAACAGTTTACTGCACGCAGCAACGCTGGTTCGCGTCAGCTCTAAACTCCTGCGGGATCTCATGATTATCAAGCATTCTCACCGCGTAGCCGTCCACACCACCGACGCGCAAGACACGCGTGTCCAGGTCCACAACCATGTGGTGGAACGCAAGCTGATCTAAGCCAAGAATCGCGAGGTTGGCAGATGGCATCTGTGCCCCATCCAGAACAGCGAAAGTGACGGCCAGTTCCAGCTCACCGAAGCGAACGCTGACGTCACGAACCTTCCCGAGCACACGCGCATGGCCAACACCACCAGCCACGCCGGCAGCACTGCGGTCCAGGCGTGCAGACAGGCCGAGGCGATCGACAAGGTTGCTCGTGAGCACGGACATCTGCGCGCCCGTGTCGACCATGAGAGGTATCCAGGCGTTGGAGGCGGCGATGTCTCCTCGCACGTAGGTGAGGCTGGACACGGCTGCCATCTCAGCGGCCCGGCTCTCGCCGAAGGCGTCCCTCGCCTGTTCCTGGCGCGCCAGATCCGAGTCCAGGTCCTCCTGCACGCGCCGTGCCGTGCGCTCGTCCTCGTCCGCCTGCATTTGCACCGCGAGCTCGGAGTCGTGGCCCGTGTCGGCGGCCACCTGCGATGGCGCGGAGGCGACACCCGCAACTGCGCCTGGGGAGACAGCGTGAGCCCCTTCCGTAGAGAAAGAAAGGAGACATGAGCATACGATTTCCGAGGTCCGCGCGGATGTCTTGGATCGGCGCTGGACCCCCCCCTGGCGGCGCCTCCGGCCCAGCCCGAGCGCGCTCCGCGCGCCAGACAGGGGTCCCAGCGCCGACCCAAGAAACCCAGCGCGGACCCACGAAAGATTCTGTTCATTACATCGTTTCTTCCTCGACTCTTCTGCAGCGCGTGCAGCTGACAGCCCCTTGCGGGCGATCGCAACCACCACGCTCCCATCGCGGAAGCCCAGCTGCGACAAGAGCTTGTCGTCGGCGTCTGGGGCCAAGACGCGACCCTGCAACACAAACAGCGGGTCGCAATCCAGGTCCAGAGCCGAAGCTGCCTGGGTGCGCGCGACAGCCAGAGGCAGCGCTTCGTCGACCTCCACCGACGCTTCGGCACCAGAAACAGTCTTAATAACAAGCCGCATGCAGCGTAGCAGGCGAGCCGAAGTAAAGGGCCCTTGAACGTCGCGACTCGAGCGAAACTGGCAACAGAAATCGGACGTGGCCCGTCCTGGGACCGCGTTGCAGTGGCACTGGGCTGGCCTGGGGCTCCTGGGAGCACCCCTGCGATGCCCCTGGGAAGCGGTGTAGGACGACCATGAAGGCGGCTTCAGAGCTCTTGGGAACCAATCTGGGCGAGAAAGAGTCGACGCAGAAAGACGTTGCCAACTATGAAAAGTGCCCTATGGTGTTGCCTCTGCGAAGCCTTCTGGAGGGCGATATCTTCGGGTCTCTTGGGAGCCTCTTGGCCAATGTTGGCTCCTCTTGGTAAGAAGCTCGAGGGGAATCCCGCCGTGGCGATGAGAGCGCACTGGGAGGCCCAGACGAGCCAACAGAACATCAAAAAACATCCTGGAGCCTCGATCCACCATCTGCGCCGCCGCCGCCGCCGACAACGACGACGACGACGATGACGGCAACAGCAACAGCAACGGCAACGGCGACGGCGACGGCGCGACGACGACGACGACGACGAGGACGCGACGAGAACTAGGACGAGGACGAGGACGAGGACGACGACGGTGACTGCGACGACGACGACAATAATGATAATAATGATGATGATGATGATGCTGATGATGATGACGATGATGATGCTGATAATGACAATGATAACGAGAATGATAATGATACTGATGATGCTGATACTGATGCTGATGATGATACTGATGATGCTGATGATGGTGACGATGCTGCTGCTGATAATGGTACTAATGATACTAATAATAACAGCAGTACGTAGAATAACAATAACAAACATTAAACAACAGAAAAGCATAGCAGTCATAATGATAACCAGAATAATCATTATATTCTTGATAACAACAATAATAATAACTATAAACAATAATGCAACTAATAATGATAATAATACGGATAAGTATAATTATGAATACGATAATACAGCGAATGAGTATAACAATACTAACAACACCAATGATCACGATAACACAAATAATAATAATGATATGATGATGAGGATGATGAGGATGAGGATGGATGATGGCGGCGGCGGCGGCGGCGACGACGACGACGATGACGACGACTGCGACGAGGCGCCGTGGACAAGCTGTCGTCGAAGAGCACCTGGTAGCCGCACATGCACAGCTGGTGGGCCCGGACCACGTGCGCGAGGTCGTTCATCACCAGGAACCTCGCTTCCCTCGGCTCCTCCTCCTTTTCCTTTTCCCCCTCCTCCTCCTCCTCCTCCTCCTCCTCCTCCTCCTCCTCCTCCTCCTCCTCCTCCTCCTTCTCCTCCTCCTGCCGCTGACGCTCTGGAGCCTTCGTCGGGCGGACGACGACGACGACAATGACGACGACGGTGACGACGACGACAGCGTCTTCCATACGCCGATAGGGTCGGCGGATTCTCACCTGGCCTCAAGAACATGTTTGTGCCACGAACAGCTACACAGAGAGAACACTCTGCGGCACAGGGGCACGGGAGCTTTGCCCACGTCGACCGGTTCCCGCATTGTCCGCTTCAGCTTCGGGGCTCTCTGAGACCACCACTGCTCCTATGCTCAAGCAGCCTCCTCGTGCTGCGAGGCTACCATCTGGCCTGTCAGCGCGCCTTCCTCTCTGTCAATCTGAAATTTTCACCTGGCCTCTAAAACAATTTCAGCCACGAACGCTACAGAGAGAGAGAGAGAGAGAATTCTCTGCTGCAGGGGGGCATGGGATCTTTGCACACGTCGACCAGTTCCCGCATTGTCCGTTTCAGCTTCGTGGCCCTCTGAGATCAGGACTGCCCCTATGCTCAATCAGCAGTCACACAGCCAAACAAGAAAGGTTAGCCTTCCCGTCGTCCTCGTCCTACCCCTTCTCCTACTTCTGATTCCCACCGTCGTCGTCGTCTCCCTTTTCATCCTCTCCTTCTCCCTCGATAAAGCCTCCCAAATGGATCCGAGTAGATGCTGTCGGAGAAACGCGCCGCATCGCTGATACATCGGCGATGCATCGGCGATGCATCGGCGACGTCGGCGATGCATCGCCTCCGTCGGCGCGGCGAAAATCGAGCTTCGTGTCGAGCCGCATCGTCGAAACATCGCCGATGAGGCGCGATCCTCCGAGCCCATCTGCTCGGACCCCATCTGTGAGGCCTGGGTCATTCTCTGGGGGTCGGCGGAGCGGCGTACGGTCAGGAACGTTTGCATAGCGTGTCGCGGCGGCGGCCCTGGCGACACGCTATGCCCTGCAAGCGGATAGCGTGTCGCTCCGCTCCACGGGGAAGGAGGCTCGGGAAGGCTCGGGACGTCGGAGCCTGGAAACCGCCAAATGGATAGCGTGTCGCTCCAAAGCGCGGTGGGCCAGCACCGGCGGCGCGGCACGCTGTCCGGAAGCTCCTGACCGTAAGCCCCTCGACTCTGGTGGACGAAAATGGGGATCCAGCTACAGAGGGGTGGTGCAACAGATTTGGTGCAACAGTTCTGCGGGAGTGCAACGCATTCTGGGGCGCAAATGTATTGCTGCATTTCTGCATGCAGCGCAGGCATTAGTTGCTCTACAATGCAATGCAAATCTCTGGCGACATGCGTTTGCAATAGAAGTGCCCCAAATCTATTGCACCACCCCCTCTCAGCTGGACTCCCTTTTGGGTCAGCCAGTTTGACCAGCAAAAAACGTCATTGAGGCCACCGAGGCCGTCCACGCACTCCCGAGGTAAGACGAAGCCAGGACGAATCGACGCACATCGACGATAATCGACGCGAAATCGACGCTCATCGACGCTCATGCGACGCTGAATCGGCACTGTCTCATCGATTACCAGACGCTAATCGACGCCAGTGGACTCTAAAGACAGACTGACGAGGGTACACAAGGCTCCCATGACTTACTACCAAGCCAGGAAGACAAAGTCGGGTGAGGATAAATCGAGAATCTCTGAGACCCAGCGGTTCTGGAGGATGCCTCGGGCGCCGCGGCCTTCTCAGGGCGCTCGGGAACGCTCTGGGAGCGCTCTGGAACGCCCTGCAGCAGGCTTGTCCTCGTCCTGACCCCTTTGGGTGAGCCCCATTGACCATCGGAAAACGTCACAGAGGCCGCCGAGGCCGCCCACGCCCCCCACGAGAACTTGCTCAGCACGTCCTGCCCGAAGACGTAGCCGGCACCTCTCCGGCGGGGAAGCCGCGGGCGGTCCGGGCGGCCCGCCGGCCCCGCGGAGGGAGGCCGACGCGGGCACCCTCTTGTCGGTGTCCTCCTCCGCTCCTACTGCTCCTCCTCCTCCTCCTCCTCCTCCTCCTCCTCCTCCTCCTCCTCCTCCTCCTCCTCCTCCTGATCCTCCTGATCTTCCTCCTCCTCCTCATCCTCGCTCCTCCTCCCTCCTCCACTCTTCTTATGCTCCTCCCTCCTCTTCGTCCCTCCTCCCTCCTCCCTCCTCCCTCCTCCCTTCAGCCGCCGTCCCGGCCCGAGGCTTTTGGGTGCAGGTATCCAGGATACCTGCGAGCCTCGCGGGACTCGGCGGCCATACGCGCTCGCCCGCGCCCTCGCTGGTGGCGTGCGGGCCGGCCGTGCTGCTGTGCTGCGGCGTGCGCCGCCCCCAGAGTGGGCGGGCGCACGACGGCGCGGGCGCCCGCTTCGAGCAGGGCGCGGCGCCGGCTGCGCGTGCGCGAGCCCGCCTGGCACAGGCGCGCTCGCGAGCGGCGCACGCAATCGCGCACCTTGCTGCGCGTCGCCGCTGCAGCTGCGAGGCTGCGCGCGCACCACAGCAACGGGCTGATGTCAGGCCGTGCTGGAGGCGGGGGCAAAGGCGGCCAGGGCCGCAAGGGCAGCGGCAAGGGCAGTTCGGGCGGCGGCCACAGCGGGCAGAGTGGCAGCACTCCGCCATGGGCCGTGCCGCCGCCGCCGCCTGGATGGTGGTGCCCGTCATGCGGAGGACTCAACGGCCCTGCTGACGCCCTGTGCCGCACCTGCTTCCCTCTTCCCGAGCATGGTCCAATGCATGGAGATGGAGGAGGGACGGCTCGCCCGCGCGCGGGCCCGCGCGGTGACGGCCGCCAGCCTCGTTCTGCCTCGAGGCGTCGGCGCCGCGGCGGCAAGGGCGAGGCACGTCAGCCCGAGGCCGAGCCGCGGCCGCGGTCAGCCTCGCGGGTCCGCTTCGAGGACGAGGGCACGGAGGACGACGGAGGCGACCCGCGGCCGAGGTCGGCCTCGAGCCGCCGCCGGCGCTCCGCCGAGGGCGATGGCCGACGGAGGCGGTCTGCTGGAGGCGAATCTGATGCATCGGATGGCGACGAGGACGGCCACAGCCCCGCGCTCGGCATCCTCCCCGCGCTGCCGTCGGACGCGCGGGCTCACCCAGCCTGGGTCGAGCCCCCGTCGGATGAGCGCGGGCCCACGGCCCACAGGCGCTCACTGCGCCGGATGGCGGCCGCCACGGGCAAGAGGCTGCAGGCTGCCATCGAGCTCGGCATGAGTCTGGAGCAGAGGCGGCCGCAGGAGGAGGAGTACGCCGTGCAGCTCAGCATGATCATCCTGGCCCGCCCAGCTGGCGTACGTTGCGACCGCCAGCGCAGCTTCGTCCAGCGGGCTCAGGCCAAGCTGGAGAAGGCCGAGGCCGCAGCTGCGCGGGCGCGTGGGAGCTCGCGGAGCTAGAGGCGAAGGTGGGTCAGCGCGCCGAGGCCCTCGGCCGCGCCAAGACGCTCCTGGAGCAGCTCGAGGCCATGGCCCCCACGGGCGACGAGCCGATGGAGGAGCCCATCACGCCGACGCCCGTGGCGGGCGCAGAGGGCGATGCAGCCCCAGCCACGCCGCCCGACCGCGCGCCGCCCATCGCGGCCATCGCGGAGCTGCAGGCTGGCCAGGCGGCCCTCACCCAGCAGCTCGTCGGCCTCACGCAGCTGCTGACGACGATGCAGGGTCAGATGGCGGCGGCGCGCGGTGGAGCAGCGCATGGCGACGCGCCTGTGCCCGAGGTGCGGCCCTTTGCAGGGCCCCCCCAGCGCCTGGGGCCAGTGGCCCCCGCGCCCAGGCCTGAGGCTCCTGCCGCGGCCTACCCCGTGCCAGCCGACGCACCTGTGGCCCGCGGCCCTCAGGGGGGGCCCCCGCCTGCGGGCGCCGCCGTGGGCGCGGCATGGGCCTCTGCTGGACCCGCCGCCGCCGACGCCGTCGAGGTGCCAGTCAGCGCCAAGGAGGATGCTGCTGCGGCTGCCACGGCCGAGGCAGCCCGCAAGGCGAGGGCAGCTCAGCGTGCTGAGAGGAAGGCTGCAGAGCGTGCACGTCGCCCTGATGGCCAGCAGGGACTGCGAGACGCGTTGGCTCGCCAGGCGTCAGCGCGGCCAGGTGCGTGCAGTCACCGCGGCCGCGGCGCCCTGCCACCGTCGCCGCACGGCCGTGCCGCCGTCGCCGCAGAGGCAGGAGAGGATGCCGTTGCAGGCGCAGCCAGCCGCCGCCAGAGGCACAGCCGCAGCCACAGCCCACGGCGAGAAGCGCCAGATGGCTTCATGCTGTGCGGCGGCCGCGCCGGCTCCACCGAGGGCAGCGAGGGAGCGACGTCGACGCTGGGGTGATGTGTCATGGCGGGCGGGCCACGGGGAGCGAGAGGGCTGCTACTGAGCCGTCTCAAGGCCCGCCTGCGACTGGCGCTGCGCCAGTCAGGCCGACTGACACGAGCGGCGGCCTTGTTGACCGAACCGAGGGTCGATCCGTGAGGGGTGGGGGCCATAGTGGGCGCTCCGAAAGGAACTCGCGAAGCCCCCGCCCCACAGCGGCGCTCGCCGAGGTAAGGTCGACGAGTGCTGCCGCACCCTCACCTCGGATGGAGTCCGAGGCCCAGCAGCAGCCACGCTGCCCAATTCCAGATTGCACTGATCTAGTCAGGCTACTGTGTCAGCCCTGGCTATCTTGCTCTCTCACTCCCGTCTTTCTTGGGCCAACTCAATTGCCCGAACATTGCCTCTTTCATCATTACCTTCATAGCAGTACCTGCCGTTTTTTTGAGACCCACGGAGCTTCTCCCCCCCCCGACAGTGAGCAGGTTGTCAGGATGGAGGTACATACGGATGGGTCTGGTGGGACCAAACAACAGCACTTGGGTGGACCACCGTCTTGGGCATGGTGCATATTTTCGGTCACGACGACTGGCAGGTACATCTGTGAAGGGTACTTGTGTGGTGTCGATCCTGATCTCTCCGCCTCTGTTGCGAGCCCGTCTGGAGCTGCAGAATTTCGAGCTGCACTGTGGCTGGTGCTATGGTTATTGCAAGCTCCTCCTCGTTTTCGGGCCCAACCCGTGGTGGCATACACAGATAACATGCTGGTGGTTTCCGCTGCCGACGGGGGAACGAGATATGTGTCGTGCGGTGATTTCCCATGGCTTTTTGACGGAGCCCTCAAGTTATTACGTCAGTTTACGAAGCTGAGCTGGAATCACGTCCACGGCCACAATGCCGATCCGCTGAATGAGCTTGCAGATACCATAGCACGACTGGCCTCCATGGGAATTGCGCCGACAGTAGAGCCTGACTTTCAACCGTGGTCAGTTTTGCTCACGTCAGCCTCTCTTGTACCATGGATGAGGATGTCTGCCAGTACCAACGTCGGTCATGGGGAGTATCCGAATGTTGGCGCATGCGAAATGCCCTCCATCGACCCTCCTGAGTTAGATCTCAGAACTGCCTTCTTGCCACCTGCTGGACGCGGCTCGGAAAACTCGTCTGTGCCACGAGTATCTCCGACATCAGGTTTGCAACCGCAGGTGAATTTTGCAGTGGCGAACGTACTCACACTGCATCCCCGCAGGAAGGCAGCCCGACGAGGGAGAGGTACTCGAATACGGTGTCGGTACCAAGACGCGGCCGGCCTGGGTTTGCCCGGACGCATGCTCGCACTGGCTCATCAGTTCTCCGCGCACAACTTTCATGTGGTTGGCACGCTCGAGACTCGGTTGTGTCGTAACGGTTGGACAGCAGCAGGAGATTTTCTTGTCATTACCGCAGCAGCCGAATCCAAGGGGAAGGCAGGAGTGGCCCTATGGATCAACACACGACATGAGTACGCATGTGGGCACACGCTCGCGCGCCGTCACGTACGTGTGATCAGTTTCTCGTCTCGGCATTTGTTGGTAGCCATACGTGCGCCTCACATGTGTTTGGACGTGCTCGTCGGCCATGCTCCTCACTCTCGCCGTCCTCCTGCTGAAGTCGAAGCATGGTGGGCTCATGTGACGTCAGTGCTACGTGGGCGGACCCAGCCGGCCCCCCTGTACTGTCTATTGGATGCGAATGCGACCTTGGGATCACAGGTGTCAGATCATGTCGGTGACGTGGCGGCCGAGGTTGAAAAATGCCAATGGACAGTGCTTTCACAAGTTCCTGCGTGACTCGGACCAGTGTGCGTTGTCTACGTTTCTGCCGTCATACTCTGGGATCCATGGGACCTGGTTGCCACCTGGGGCTCAGGGCCAAAATCCGCAGCGACGCATTGACTACGTAACGATCCCTATGGGCCAACTATCTAGCGTCATTCGTCAGGGAGTCGATATCGAGATCGAGCTAGCGATGCGATGTGACGACCACTTTGTGGTAACAGCTGATGTGTACGTGTGCCGTGCCGATCAGTATGAGCCAGCCATCACATGGACCCGCTCCCGACACGACGAAGCTAAGCATGCTGACCCCGAGTGTCGTGCTGCGTTTGAAGATGCCCTCCGTATGGTGCCCTCGCCGACTTTCACAACACACCCAGACGATCATGCCGCATATCTCAACAGGCATATCTTGGAGGCCGCCGCAATCGCATTTCCGCCCAAAAGGTCCGACAGTGGCCGTGAGCCCCGTCGCAGTTGGATTTCTCAGGGATCCCTCGACCTTATGGATCAGCGCACGGCTGGGAGACGTGCGCTTCGGGCCCTACGGGCTCAGCTACCCAGGCTTCTCCTGGCGTGCGTGTTTGTGGCGTGGGCCTCGGACGGGGCCATGGATGGCGAATGGTTCTGTCACCGGACACGCCGTTTCCGACATAGTGACCGTGACGGGCCGTCGCATCATCCACTCTTGCAGACATGTCGTCGGATCGCGGATGCCGCTGACCAGGTTCTTGATGCTACCAAGGTTGTTGCGACGCCTCTACGAACACCACAGGGCAAGCTGACCTACCCACCGTTTACCCAGGA